GGTAACCATAAGATTCCAGTTGGTACTTTTTGTAGAAATAATAACCCATTGGTTTTCAATCTTGTATAGAGAGCCTGAAATGCGCACAACAAACCAACAACAACATGATTCAGTAGTATCTATACCATTAAGAAATATCCTGATGTTACTGCGCAAGTGCTGTAACCATCCCTACCTACTGGAATACCCCCTGGATCCAGCCACACAGCAGTTTAAGATCGATGAAGAGCTAGTCAGCTGCTCTGGAAAAATGAAGATATTGGATCAATTATTAGCAGGATTACGTGCTAAAGGTCATAAGGTAAGGCCTGGGTGGGGAACATGGTTTGGCTGAGTGGATGGGTGAATAAGTGTTGAAGTAGGTGAGGAATGTTGCCATACTCTGTACGCGTGACTTTCACAACATGGCTAATCCCAAGGAAGAATAGTGTGATAAAGTTGATTCGTATGTCAGGCATCGTATGTTTATCTGGTTCAAATGAGTATGCATTATCCGGATTTTTCGTAATAGGAGGGGGTGCACCCTTTGCTTACAAACTCAAACACCWATAATGCAGTAGATATCAGCTTACCATTTAACGTGATGATCTTGATTGTTTGTCCAGGTTCTAATATTCTCACAAATGACCAAGATGTTAGATATTTTAGAGGACTTCTGTTATTTACGGAAATACAACTATTGTCGACTGGATGGTGCTATGTCTGTACAGGATAGACGTGAACAGGTATTATTATTATTATTATTATTATTATTATTACGCGGTAAGGATGGTGATGACAATGTTGGAGATGATGATAATGATGAAAAGCATGACAGTCATGATGATGCATGGCAAAGATGATGATAAAAAGCTTGATAGTGATGATGATGATGATGATGAAAAGCATGACAKTCATGACGATGCATGGCAAAGAYGATGATGATGCATGGTGAAGATGCATGATGATGATGATGCATGTTGGTGATKATGATAATATTAATGATGATGATGATACTTATTTTACATGTTGGGCATCTCATTTCAGATGAAAGCCTTCACTACAGATTCCAATGTATTTCTGTTTCTACTGAGTACACGTGCTGGAGGCCTGGGGCTGAATCTGTCTGCAGCTGATACCGTAATCATCTATGACAGCGATTGGGTAAGATAAAAGYTTGTTGTAAATAACTAGCACAATGGCTTTAATTATGGTAATGCTGACGCTGAGATGGTGGTGATGATGTTGGTGATTGTAAATGCTGATGACAATGTTGACGCAGTGGTGGTAATAATAAAGATGGTAATGACCACAATGGTGATGATGGTGTTGTTAATGATTGTAATGATGATGGTATATAGCGGTGATGACAATGGTGATGATTGTGATGATGATGACAATGTTGAC